GCGCACTTTCGAGCCGCCATGCGCTAACCAGGTAAGAGGGGAACGATCTGATGCTTGAGCTATATCGATGAGATGGGCAGATCAGACTGGTCATACGAAGGAGAACTGAAACATGTCTTTCTCCCGTGCCCTGACCCCCCCCAACACAACCTTTATGCAGCACAATTAAATCCACAGCCCTGACCACTAGATGACATTTCAGAATTTATCTCCTGGTGTGGCACATGCTATGGAGCCTACAAATATTACTTTTTTGCAATTTCAACAGTTCAAATGTGGTCGTGAACCCCCAGGTCCCCAGGTTTTATTTTTGGGAGTACAAAGGAGAGCCACCCTGGCAAACCTCTACTGATGATACCTGGAGTATATAAACAACTGCTCCAGTGAGCCCGCAAACCACACCTGGCTTGGATATGAGGGATCGTCAAAACTGCGGGGAAAAGCATTCTGTTAGGCTCATCTGTGCGCTGGGGGATGTGGCCGGTAGGCCGTTACACTTCTGCCACAAGATCCACGCATCAAGCCTTACATTACTGACCCCGGAAGTTCTATCCTTGGATCTTGCAGCGATGTTAACACCGGCAGAACTAAATAAGTTAGGCCGGGCTGGTAGGAAGGTGGACAACTTCCATGGTCAGTGTCACTTCAGGATGGGAGCTGAACAGGTGTATGAATCTTGATGTCGCTTGGTACGCCGGTACGCTGTAGAGAAAAACTGGACAGGCAGGATTGGTAGTTGATTCCCCGCTTTTCAACTTGCAATGCAAAGACGAAACTCACTGAACTCACCTCTAGTTGTTTGAAGGTCAGAAACAGGTGTTGTCTGATGCAAACTTTGATGGCGCGCTCAGAGTATGCGACAGCACGCATGTTGCCATAGACAGCACAGCAATAATTTTTGACACTGCAGAATTCAAGTACAAGAACAACTATATAGAAAGTTTCTACTGGAGTTGGACAATCTCTAATGTGCCTGTGCAGTGCGGGTAGGGCAATCAGATCGTTTGATTCATTGAACCTGCAAAGTGAAAGCATTCTCCTCTCTCCTTCAATGCAAGAAGAAGGAATATCTGGGAGGACCACCGCAGTGCGGCCGGACTGGACTCTACTAGAGTTACTAGAGGCACTCTGCTTTGGCCGGGTGCTTCTTCAAGCACGACAAGAAAACACATATCGCGACAAGGAACACTTTCCCCAAGCACTTCCAGCAACGCTCGGCCACAAACTATACAGCTTTTGAGGGGGAAGGGAAGGGCCAGGAAATATCCAAACCCATCCATGGCAAACCAAGAAGGAACGCTGCTGAGAAAGCAGCATCATGGCCAGCTGATTTTCCTTCTCGCACTCGTGAATGTGAAGCTACTTGTGGTTTACTGTAATGTAGTAATTAGTATCCGCATTTTATGTTGTTTCATGACCACGAAGTTTGACCATCCCGTCTACCTCATTTCTGTACCTAAAGTGAAGGACGAAACATAATGTTTGAAACGAGCCTTCCTGTCAGACCACGCAAACTCACAAGGAGCGAAGAATCGAAAGAGATGCCGGAAACCAACTGCACTGCAACCTGCCTGTGTGGAGTGCCTCGCAAGCTAAATCTTGCACCTCCTGCCGCGCACGATGACTGTCATGTGGGCAACCTACAATTCCTTGGCTTCAATGAACGTACAGCGCAAGCAACGGAGATGCTCAAGCCAAAACGGACCTCGGTAGTAAACCCATTCACACCAGTACATACTGATACTCTATGTTCGGCACTACAGCAGGCCACTCTTCATCAATGAAGCAGTCCAAATTGCTCATCTGAAGCTTCGACGTTTTCTTATATATCATATAATTGTTTCTACTGAAAAGGAGGTTGTCCTCTGAGGCCAGTGTGCTCCACTGTTGACGCCGTTTCTCGACACTTCGACACTCAAATCTAGTCGTCTTTGGTTGACAAACATGAAAAATTCAAATCTGTAATTATACTATATCTGTGCCATACCTTACTAGGACGCTACTAGTAGCTCCTGGCCTTACTACTAGTAACAAGAAGCTACTAGTAACAAAGGGCATCGCTACTAGGAGCAAGGACGCTACTAGTGCCATACCTTATTCTTCATTACCGCTACTGCTTAATGGTTTACTCCATGTATGGCCTTTCTAGGATCTTCTTCCCCTCCACACACGACCCCCCTTAGAACAGGGATGTTGTGAGGTCAAATGTGGAAACAAAAGACTCGCTATTCGAAAGAACTGTGTCGTTGTGTGTTGCAGAGCAGTGGCGGAGTTTCCACATCCAAGTGGCTCAGTAGCTCAGGCACGCTGATCAGACCCAAGGATTGGAGGCCTTCCACGTTGAGAATCCTTGGCTCATAGTGCTTTTCTATTCAGCTCAAAATGGAACAAATGCCTAGCACGCTTGGGCTGTTGCAAGGGGAGTCTAGGAGTCAAACAACGGCAACAAAAGCCAAGTCTTGACATGACCATAGCGGTTGCTAGCATGTAAACGGCGTCCACTTCCACACGGCTCCAGAAGTTGCAGCTTAGTTTTATATAAGTCCTAGTTGTTACTTTCAGAAGTCTGTGCAACGCTCCAATTCCGAACCTCTCCCATCCAATCTGACACTTTCCAATTTACTCCAGAAAACAGGCCAAGGACAAAATACAGTCAGTGCCTGGTTGTCTACCGCATCAATTTTGCAATTTCGTAATTTGTTGGTCGCAACGTTGGGAAGTGCTCTATCCACTGTATTTGGGACCTATTAAAGCATCCCGGATCAACAGTAAATGGTCCCTTTCTGAAAATTGCAAATGCAGCAAGGGACCTCGATAGGTTTGTCATGTCCAAGATCTCGTAAGATCGTAGTGGCGGCAGGGAGTCAGGCAACTCCACAGTCTTCTCACCAGTCAAGGGCTGCATCTAGGTCACAGAGTGGAATGGATCTACTGCGCCAACATGGCTGGTATCGAACTGTTCACTGTTCAGACTGCTGCATGACCACTTGGTAAGAACTTTCAGCCGCAGAACTTTCGAGCGAACAAAGATGCAGGTTCCAAAGAGCTGACATCTCGAGATACTTCAGAAATGTGTAAGTGAGATTATTCAAGATGGCCCTGAATTCGCCGAGTACTTCAATCCAATCTGACACAAATCACCAACAAACGTAGAGCACATTAAGATACATTAAGAACCCGCTAGTTTGGGTGCTGGCTCCGAAGCAAGCTGGGCGTACATGTTGGAAACCCATTCATTGGTCACCCATGTGCTTTGTCTTTGAACATCGTATTGTATGTAGGATATATTCTGCAGCGAAGCTAAGCGTCTGCCACTAGCACGGTATGCCACCAGCCACATTGCATACCTGACCGGGCTCCTGCATGAGCTGAGTTTTGAAACGAACAAACACTTCTTGAACCATGAGCACGTGCATGTGCCAATCAAAACAATGGCTCACGTCAATCTTGAGACTTAGCCGACTTAGCTCTACAAATTCCTGGTGCCCAATACCGAATACCACTTGGGACAACACATCTGCAAACAAGTTGACGTTTCAACTTGAGAAAACACGATTTCCAAGCACCATGCCTTGGATGTTCAAAAATCACACATTGCCATATCCCTCTCCAGAGCGGATTTACTCTTTCGCACAAGGTTGAGCAGCACTTCCTGGAGCTTTACTATGGGCAATGGCAATACTTACTTCCAATGCATCTGAGCACAAATTCGACTGAATTCTACCTGTGCATACATCGTGCCTTGAATCATGCTGATTGGAAAGGGTTGAAAGGGATGCTACGATTGCTGCCCAGGAACATTGCACCATTCGATCTGTAGTCCCAAAGCACAGAATAGATATTCATTTGATACTGTGATTCGGTCATCGATCTTTTGAAATGATCTTTGGAATGCACCGCATGGAGAACACACCTACTTTACCAGACTGAGATTTCGGCTCTGGACGAGTACAAAACCTGTGTAACAAATGATGACAGTAGGAATCCAGCAGCTCAATTGTGTTGCTGGCCTCGTCTTGAGCGTCTGGGCGCGAAGGCTGAAAGCTGGGAGCAAAGCTGACAAACTGGCACAGAAACACAGCTGATCAAATGCGTTGCTTCAGCGAACTTTCTGACTCCACAAGCAAGTACTACACATCGCCAGACTTCTATCAGATGTCAGTGCAAATGACATCACATCTCATGAATCCGGAACCTTCCCGGCTATAGACCCAGCTGACCCACAAAAGAGCCTCCAAAGACTCAGCCTTTAGGGAGCAACCCTATCACAAGTTTCTCCATCCATCTTCTTGGATGGCCCTGCTGGCCATCCAAAAACATCCATGTTCTATTGGCCAAAACACCATGCCCACCTTATTCTAATAGTAGTTCCGGGGCCAGTATGAAGTGGGTCTCTAGGCACAACGTCTTTGCTCAAACTTGATTCCAATAGATGTAAGGGGAACAACAAGCCCTTCTTTCTGCCATCCTCATCATGCCCCCCGTCTTATGGATATCTTTCCAAGGGAGTTGCGTGTCGGAAGGCCCCAATGTGGGCAGCATGGGGATTCCGCTTTACAAACTTCAAACTGCGCACAAGGATCACCTGCATCATCTTGCCATGGGTATCCCATTGCCCAAGCACACCGAGACCAGATAAGTCAGATAAGAACACAAGCAATTGCTTCTAAGACTTGGCCTGATGTTCAAGAATCTTGCCAATGTTTTGCACATACTGTCACATGGGAATCATGGGGTCAAAATAGCGAGCCTCAGTGTCCAGAAGTTTGGTGGACCATTATATGTATTTATATGGATAAGTTCGCAGCGCTTTGCAGATAGATGAATGTGAATTTGTGGGCAGAGTGTCCCAGCGGGGACCAGCAATGGCTTGCAAATGGAGTTGTTGGGGCATCACAGTCTTGCTCAGCTGCTTTCATGGCTGTATGCCTTGAGCGAGCAAAATAATTGTCAGTTTGATAGAGTGAGTGAGGGGTAAATAGTGCCCTCACATCTGTGGTCCCTTTTTTGCTGGAAGCACATCTGGAAAAGTCGAATGCTCTTTTTGAAACCTGCCAGCATGCCCAGCTGCGTTCAAGTGCGTGCAACCTTCCAAAGCAGCCCTTTATTTCATTCGTCAAGCAGCCACCTTTACAAAGTTGAGACTTGCATCACGCTTGAAAGAAGAAACATGAGTCTCGGAATCGGAACACACAGAAAGTGGCAGTACGGACACATGTCATGCGCAGTCTATGCCTGCATGACATGTACATCATGCAATATTGTCAAGATGTTCCATTCACTTGAAAGTCAATCCTTTTTGACCGTCGCTTAATCCATCGCCCACTTCTGCCAAACATGTCCACAAGAGCTCCTTTCAGCAGTGGGATAGCATCAGAACCATCTTTTTAGCAGCACATGCACAGGGTCAATACAACCAATCAAGGAAAGCAAAGCTCAACACAACTACTGTAACTGTTTCTTTCTGACGCAAGAGGGCAAACAGCCGGAAACCTTCACGTGAAAATAACTTTCATGTCCCACAAAGCGGAGCCTACAAATGCACATATAATCAAACAGGTCTCCCAACCAAGGATTTCCTCTGAATAGGAATAGGAATCAATATGAATCCATTTATCTTCTGGATGGTTGTCTGTGAAACTGGAACTTTAAAAAAAAAAGTGCTTTGAAACCAACACCAATTGCGCCCATCCTGCAGACTGCCAGATGTGATGGCCAATTCAACCTGGAGAAGCCGCACGTGGAATCAGAATTCAGTACTCAGTCAGTATTATACTTTAACTCATTTTACATAATTTTACTGTACAATACTATACGCAGGCAAGCTGTGTGTGGACTCACTACAGGGTCCATGCAATTGTTGCCAGCTGCCATGTTCACTCTAGAAGACCACTCACATGTGATACATTTCAAGCAATAAACCTCCTGAACATAGATCTCCTTCACCATGAAACCCATCGCCTCGCACACCCAGCGGGCTTGAGTTGTCGGTCACCACTTCGAGCACATTGGGTTTGCTCCCTTCTATGCACAGCAGACTGCACTGTTGCTACAAAGAGTCAATATTTGGGACACTAAGAAATCCATAGAAGACCTATTTGGAGGGCGGACATGGATTGCGTTTTGGATGCTCTTGAGGGTGTGGATCACAACAAATCCACCTCCTCAATGTTGGCGTGAGCCCGTGGAAAACCTATGGTTCGTTGTCTTTGCTGAACAGGATCCAGGCACAGTGTTTCGACCAAGCTACTTCGAGCGCTCTCTTTCTTGCCACCGTTGAACCTCAGCTGAGAGCGTCCTCCATTCCTGTTGCATGCCCCCCACACCAACAAACATGGACTCGAAGCGCCTAACTGCAACATGAACCTGGCTTTCGCGCCTCATATCTGTGGCTCCTGCAGTTTGCTTTGGAAGGCCTAGATTGAAAATTGTGTATTTGTTTGCTCCTTGTTGCCCGGTGAGCAGCCTAAAGCCTTCCCGGATGTCGCCAAATCTTTTGGCCCAAGGATGAGCAGGAGTGCACGCTCCAGTCCTAAGTATATATACAGATCAAACAAAACTGTCAAGCTTAAATCCATGACAGGAAGTGACAGGTGAGACTGATATGCTTTCCTTACGATCGTCATTTTAGAAGCAATACAGTACCGCTGTGAAATGGACATAGTGACACAGGAGGGTATGTGGGCGTTGATGGCATATATACAGATACTAGATCATACTAGTACCTTGATCTATCCTCAGTTTTTCCTAGCCTATAATTACCATGGCCGCAGGCTGGTTGCAGCCCCCAAACAGCAACACCCCTTCACATAGCCAGGATAACTGAACATGTCGCAGGTTGGTTGAAGGGTAGGTCACAAATTCTGTTAGACCAGATTGTCCCCGCTTTGTGCTATTGCCCCTTTTAACGGCGTTCCCTTAAACATCAAATCCAAAACACCAACAGCAAAGCACACGCACGCTGTTTTTTCCTGGTTGGTTAGATTTCCTTGGGTTGAAGCCTCAACCAAACTGTAAAGCAGGACTGGGATGGGACCCTGAAACGCGACCCAGCCTAGTCCTCTGGGGAACCCAAGGAGAAATCGGACACCGTGAATGGAAAACTACTCAAAGGTAGGTCACGATGTACCAGAACAGGAAGTAGCTCAGAGGCACTCGACGCCTGCGTGAGCATGCAGCAGCAAGCCATCTCCCGAAGGGATTTCAGGCCAAAGGCGCGTGTCGGACCCTCATACAACCCACAAGTGATTTCAAGTGCCTATGAAGTTGAAAGTAGAGCTCCTGGAAGCTCTTAGAGGGGTCGAAGCCAAAGGGGCTCGGATGAGCAGGTGTTGTGCTCCCCCTTGAGATGAGACGGAGCCAATAGTTATCCCCTTGATGGAGGGAAAGGACCAGCTGCATCAAGATGGCCGCGGTCCAGCATCTTCTGAGTAGTCTGGCTCAGCATTGCGGAGATGTAAACGAATGTAAGCGATTCATTTTTTGCATGGACATCAGGAAGGACGCGAGGAGCAAGGACCCCAGCATCTCCAAGGCAGGGATATTGGCCCTGGATTCGATTAAAAACGTCCCCTTGGACAGTCGGAGAACCATCCACCAACATAGCTACCGGCCTCCTCAGCGCTGGCGTTGCTAGTTCTGTGCCAAGGTGAAGGGGGACAGTCGGGGGTGGGCTGTATGAAGTGGCCGCCCAAGAGGATTGAGATGAGTTTCGCAAAGGTCGGGGCCAACGACCGCTGGAGCGCCTTAGCCACATCGCCCATCAGGGGGAGCCACGTCGAGCGCAGTCATGGCTGCGTTCGGCCCGAGCTTGTCCTGTAGCTCGTCTGGGGTGGGGAGCTCGCACTCGACGAAGCCACCAGAGGTGATGGACGCCGAGTCATCTGTGGGAAGGATGGTGCCTGCCAGAGCGTCATCCACCCGACCTTGTCGCGAGTGTCCGCCTCCGATGGCTCAATGGTGAAAGAGGTCACCGTCTCAGCGCCACCCAAAATCGACCAATCGAAGAACTCTCCAGAGCTGTCAGCAGATGCCATGGCTATGAGGTAGAAGACTAGAAGAGGGGATGCGAAACACGTTTTTCACTTGATGCAGGCTTGAGCCAAAATGGCAAGGCATTTTGGCTAATGACATGTCTTGAGGAAACATGACCTGCTTTCCACAGGTTCCAAGCACGTTCAAATTCTTTTTGCTAAAGCCTCTCTGTGGGACCAAGAATCGAATATCCACTTCATGCAAACCTGCAATCTTGACGGTCTTCTCATGGGGAAGGTTCATCTCCACCAAGGCGCGAGAGATATGATCCACCTGCACAAAGAACGCTGTCAATGTTCATACTGTGAGCACAAAACTGAGGAGTATTCTTCTTAGGTTGTCTTACAACCCACTTTCAGCTGATTGAGTACGATAGAGCTGACAACCTTCCATGTTACGGACATTTAGAAATGTAAAGCGCAAAAGAAAACAGAGTAGAGTAGAGCTAGACATGCAAAACAATATATATATATATAGAGGAATAGAGCAAAGCCCAGCAACGGCAGGCATTCAGAGAACAGAAGAGTCACAGCAAAGTAGAGTTAGACAGTCCATTTTTAGGAGGATGTCTCGCAGAATTGTTTTGGTTCCGGCCTTTTCATTTCCAAAATCGATGTGCTTTGACATCTTCAACTTTCATTTTTGGAGGACATCTCGCGCGAAATTTACTTTTGAGAGATAGGTGGCGGACCGGCACCAAAGCCAATGCAAAATGCGTCCCCGAAGCTGCGCGAATGGAACTCTTGGTATGCGGTTTCCCAACAGTATGGCCAGTTTCGTACCATTGTTGGATTTTGTCGGATCCGCCGCACTCTGGGTAGGACGTTTTGCGCGTTTTTTTCGGGCGTTTTCAACTTTCATGGCATCTCCAACTTCCATTCTTGGACGTCTCGCATTTGTGGAGAAAGCCCCGGACAACATGCGCCTTAAAAAGATAGCAGGGCAATCTTCGGGCTCAGAACTGGCCACTTCGCGGGTGGAAATGTATTCTGCGAAGTAGCTTCTAGCAGCTGTGGGCTCAGAAGTGGCAGCTTTGTGGGGCAAACAAACGCGGTGCGTGGATAGCAAGAACTGGCAACTCTGTAGTACTACAAATGTAGTAGCGTGGGGTGCTCAGAACTTGCCCCCCTGTATTGCACATGTAATAATGTAATAGTAACTATGCGAATATATTCTGGGAGCTCCAGATTCAGCAGTGGCCACTTTGTAGCGCAAATGTAGTGCGAGTAGCTTTTGGGATCTTCAGGCTCAAAGCTGCCCACTTTGCAACTGCGGCGGCAACTTTGTGGCGCAAATGACGCTGGGGAGTGGCGACATTACGTCGGTGATGTCACTGTGCGATGCGCGATGCATCAAATATGTGGCACATGGTTTGGCGAGGTCTCGGTGGATTGTGATGTGTATGCTTCGAGCTTGTTAGCGATGCCAGGAGCCCCTGGTAGCGTCCTTGCTCCTAGTAGTAAGGCCAGGAACCCCTAGTAGCTTCTTTTTCGTGTGTCTCTGTGCCATTGCGGAACGGGAAAGTAACAAACTAACATGTGTGGTAAATGCAGCGCGTCGCTTGCGAGCGGCATGATGATGTCAATCACGCTTGTCGTGGGGTCAGCTGTCGGGTCTCTGCAATCATAATCTTATGACCCCCGGCTTGCTTAGGCACTGCTTGTACTAGTGGAATAAACACGTTGAAGTCTAAGTAGGCAATTGTCCATCAGCCACGGTAAGACAAAACTCCTGAAATTGAAGAGCTTGGAGCTCTTTCTTCATGCAGCCTGATTAATGGAACATCAATTGAATGATCAAACTGTAAGTTCAAGCTGTGGCAAGACAGGCCTTCTCACTGCTTGAGCCCTTTGAGCTTGAATGCCTCAGTATTGCTCCATGTTTGGTCTTCTTGCTTGTTGCAGCACAGCATTCTTTGCTCACATGTGGTGGAGTCCGTCAAAGTCCTTGTCAAGGCTTAGGAACTAGTTTTGGTACTAGGCACAAAACAACGGTAGTTTTCCAAAAAACACAATGCAATGCAACAATGCTTGTCATTGGACCTACTTGGACTTGCATTGATTTTGACAGCTACGATTCCACAAACGCAGGGCGAATGTCTCATCACTCCTTCTCCATGTCCGGCTGCACCATACGATTTGCAGCGCTTTGGGGCAGCTACGACTGCACTTTGCGATAGCGGTGCACTGTGTGGTACCCTGACTAGTGAAGTAGTGAAGGTTGGTTGGCGCATGCCAGACCTTGAACGCAGTTTTTGTCTTCAAAAATCAAATTAATTCTATGGCAGGACAAAGGCAAAAAGGGGGGCTGATTTGAGGGCGCAGTGCCTCCCATGCGAACTCCGCAGTTACAAGGCAAACTCAGAAATGTCTTGAGAGTTTCTAGAGGAAGTTCTAACTAGGGATACCGAAAGGGTTTCCCTTAAGGGTCCTAATAGCATACTTTAGTGCACCTTCACAACGCTCTTGCTTGCAGAACTGGCGCTTGCCTTCGTTCAAAGGAAAGCGGGAACCTGTTACAATTTGACTGACACAATGACAATGCACAAGCATATACTTATATAGACATGTATATATATACATATATTGTATATATATATATATCTAGATCTATGCAGCCTTTGAAGACAAGGTCAAGGCCTACCGCAAATTCCATGGAAACTGGCCGGAAGCTTTGGGCAGAGACTTGGCGAAAGCCTGGCAAGTCCAGCGTGACATGCTCACCACAGTGAAGTACCCATGGCAACATGCAAAGGGCCCAGTTGGTGCACTTCAGTGCTATTTGCTGGAGAGAGGATGGAACATTGAGAGACATGATGAGTGGACAAAACCAGGGCACAATGGAGAACCAGATTTCAAACTCAACGTGAATGCAGACTGGTTCTGCCTCAAACCAGAACTAGAGAGAGCTCGCACCTGGGAGACGGTCATGAAAGTGAACAAGCGTTCCAACCTGCAGGAGGTCCAACAATCACTAGATTGGTTGCCATGGCGCCGACTCTCTCGTCAGCTCCCCAAGGCACAGAACACTGCGCTGCAAACCTGGCACCAAGGAGCAATTTTTACCAAGATGGCTGATGGAGAAGGCAGCAAGCAGCTCATGTGTCCACATTGTGCCCAAGAAGCCACGGCAACGATGTGCTGTGGACATGCAAGGAGACACAGAAAGCTTTTCCACCTTTAGACGCCGAAGATAGGCTTGAGATCGAACAAGGCATCAAGCTCGCAAGGCTTGCTTCAGTTACCTCGGTATGAGATCTCCACCGGAGGAGCAGCGGTACAGACCTGGGGACCATGGACCATCCATGATGAAGTTCGACTTCAAGGCATTGATGTGGTGACCATTGGCATTGCACCTACAAGCTCTGACCCCAGATTGAAGCATTTTGTGGTGGCCATTGTTCACACCTTGATCGATGGTGAACTTTACCGCAAAGGGGCGGTCACTACGGTCTTGCCGGGCCACCAGTCCACGGACAGGGCTTGGTTCTATGGACTGAGACTGATTTCGCACTATGTGGACCTCCAGGTGCAAGTGGGAGTGCATGTCATGTCTACAAAGGCATGGGAAGCTTGGGTTCATGGGAAACATGTTGACAGCTTCTACGACCTCCAAAGCCTGGTGTCCCATGACCACAGGAGCAGAATTCGGCCGCTGATCTTGAACCAGCAGCAGGTCAAAGAAATGCCACCAGGGCCTTATACAGTTAAAGCCAGATTCAGAGATGCCACAAAGGCGGCCAAGGAGCTCGCCCTCTCCACGCGTCCAGTGCAAGAAGAAGCAGATCTACAGATCACAGACCAGAGATACAATCGCATAGCTTCCCTGCCATCCAAAGGATCAGGCATTTGTTGGAGACGAAGGAGCACTTCCTCCATCAGGCCAGGGAGACAGGGAAGCAAAACAGGCTCCAGGCAAAAGCGAAGAAAGACAAACTTTTCCTGAAGATAGGAAACACACAGCAGCAACAAGCACCAATGGGGCACTAGGCCTCGAGGCCTGCAATGCCAAGGATGCAACAAACGCATCACCAAGCACCTGACCTATGAGGCATTGCAGCTCATCAAAGATGAAGAATGCCCAGCCAAGATTCACCTTGACCTCCAAGGTGGACACCAGGCTCAGCCTCAATCCAAGGCGGATTTGGTCAAAAGCCTTCTTGAAGGAAGGCACCCAGAGATGTCAGAACATCAATTTGTCTTGCAGACAAACTACGTTGTCTGCAGCCGGTGCAGTGGGGAAAAGGTGGCAAGGTGTTCTGCCAAACCTGCAAGTCACATGCAGTAGGCAAAGCAGAGCAGTTCAGTGCCAGCAGGGCACTTCGACAACCGTGTGGTCAGCAACAGCAGATCAAGCTCCCCACGTTGTTCGCAAGCCAAAATGGCTGAGAGAGAGAGAGAGAGAGAGAGCGGAGGAAAAGACACGCGGAAAAAACAATATATATCTAGATATATACCAGTTCTGAGACTGTAGTTGAAGCTAGTTTTTGTTTAAGCAATCTGCTAAACTGCACTAGGCTTGATGATTCAAGTTCACACTGCAACCCTTTGTCCACACTAAGGCACATCTCCGGATGCCAGTATGATCCTTTGAATGATCTGGAGCTGGTGCTGCTGGTGTCCTGCTAAGGTCGTCCACCTAACTTCAAAAGATTGACCAATTTGAAAAGCTCAACTGATTGTACAAGCTGCCAAAGGGCAACCGGACTTCAACCACACAACAAACCATAGATGCACACGGTTTTATACACCGGGACCTATGCAATCGTATATATACTTCGGTGGTTGCTCTCATACTTGGCAAAGGGTGTTGAACACGAACAATCTTGAACTCAAGGTCTGCCATCAAGCCTCATTTTTAGTGAAAAATCCTATATCAATACATATTAAGAAATATATAGATCTTATATTTGTTTAATCTATTTGATCTTATATATATATAGTCTTATAATATTCAACGTCCCGCTCCTCCTGTGGGAAGTTGCCAGGAGCTTCACAAAGTGCTTCGCGCAGTCCGTCAGGGTCTGGACCAAAGCAGTCTGTCCCTGCTTCATTCACAAATAGCGCGACTGTCGATAGGCGTCGTCGGTCCTCCTCCGATAGATCCTTGGAGTCCAAACCTCGGCGCTTTGAGGTTTCAAGGGAAGATCAAAGCCAGACTGGACACAAATGAAACAGCATGAAAAAGAAGCATACTTTTATTAAATACAAACAATATCCCACAAGTCCAGCACGAAGTCAATTTGGCCTTAAAGGGCACATTCGTCCATGGCTTTGCATGAGGGCTTAAACAAGTGCTGCCTTGAAGCATATCTTCAAGCATGTCTTGGACAGCTCCTCGAATCCCAATTCACCAGAAGCCCATGCCAGTGAAACCCACCATGCCTCATGAGGGCCGCTCTTGACGTTCTCATCTTCCAGCAGTGTCATGATCAAGTCCTCAGTGGCTTCGATCTTTGATCGATCGCGCCTATGTTCGCCCATCCTTGGACGTCACAACGGGCTTTCCTTGATGGTTCTTCTCATTTCTTCGACACCAATTCCTCCACCTCCCCAATCTTGAGCCCAACACCCTGCTACTTGCGATCATCAGCAGGAGCAACATATTATATATGCGGTGGCCTTCAGGGCCTGACACTCGTGGGATACTTAAAGCCAACTGAGAGGAGCTTGGACCCTCAATCCAATGCAAACCTTGCTTCATATTCATGTTCAAAGGAGCTTGCTTTTTAGTGCCAATTTGGTGGTGTAACAAGAAATCGGCACCTTCTTCTATATATTCCAAATCGACTTGGGGATGATTTGAAGGTGCTCTACTGTTCAATAGTGATGCCTGTTTTGCCCGCTAACTCTTTCGTTGGTGCGGCAGCGCTATGTTGCTTCGGCAGCACACTGCTTGATTCGATTGATTGCCCCTCTCACGTGAAACTCGAGTACGGAATCGTTTCCATTGTGTTGCGAAAAGTACTGTAGGTCCTTGTCCTTGTCCTTGTTCGGTCAGGATCTTTGACTTTAACGAGATACACACACTTATATTTACTTTTGGCGATCAAGTTATTGCTGAACCGTACTTTGACAAGCGGTGTCTGTATGCTCGCATACATTCAACATGTTCCTCTTCACTTTCCAAAGCGACTGCCTTGTCCAAAGCAAGATTCTGCAAGGCTCTGCGCGTTGGTGTCCCAACCCAAAGAGGCCTTGGCTGGAAGGGATGTCTTCGACCCTTGCATTTATGCAACATTCAGCCTCGTGACTCTCGAAACCAAACCCTGCTTCTGGCCTTGGACGGTTTCTTGCATGTATAACTTGACACCTGGAACCGTCCTTCAGTCGGAAGCCTTCAAAGACACTTGTCTTCAAAGCCTTCGTGTTCTGTCACCAGGTGGGTCTTGAGACAACCTCAACACGAACATGCATCATGACAGCATCTGACTGCCAACCCGTGGAAGTAGCCAACCCTGGAAAGTGGACTGTTGTAATACCGTATATAATTCAGTGTATATAATTCCATCATTGTCATTAAAGGGGCACGGAACAACGTTGGTTTGTACTTGCTTCTTTACCCGCATCTAGTGACTTTAAAATGACTTGAATGTTTCCCATACTAATAGCAGATAGCTTCAAATGAGGACTCATACTCAGGCGATGCCCTTGAAGGGGTTTGACTTTCGAAGGCACCAATTCAACAAGCCACCATCTCTGCAGCCGAAGGCACGCATGCCAACATTAGCTCTGCAGCTGCCTTCATGGCTGGCTGGGTGTTGGAGTCGTTATCCTCGATCCTCAAGATTTTGGCAGGGACTTCCTGCACTCTCGTTCGGAACCCTTTGAAGACAGAATGACACACTATCATGTTCATGTTCTTGAAAGGACACAATAGTCTGCATCCTCCAACAAAAACAACAAGCAGTACTTGGACTACTGAGTAATTACAGTAATGGTTTTGCCTCTTTCAAACACGTGCAAACAATGGCTTCAAAGCACAGAACCCTTCAGGCATGCTTTATCCTCAGAATGAGTTGACATGGAACCTTTGCGCAATTTCGGAAATGTTATGAATCTTTCTGTCATATCCAATCCTCCACAAAGATGCCAAACTGGTGTTGAAACATAAACAACTGCTAGAAGAGTTGAGGAACATAACCTAGTTACTGCATGATTTGTGCTTCCATTTTCACTGTCTGGGTTCGCAGCGGTGACCTAGCACTTTCAACCCTTGGGAACATAGAAGCTCGACATGTCCAAATGAAACCATGAAACCATCATGCAAGCTGAACCTCCCGCTTCGTTGGTTTGTTGGTAAAGTGGGATGAAGCCGTACGCTAGGTGAGCAGAAAGCTGGTTATATATTGGGTGTGAAGTGCTCAGCATAGCGGAGCAAATATCTGGGTGCCAGCAACCGTACTGTAGTGAGTGCAAAGCTAGCTGAGCTTGAGCCAGCCAAGTGGTGCGGGAGCCAGCCATCTTGTTGGTGGGCGAGTGGGGAGGTATGGTTGTTGCTGCAAGCAAGAAAATAAACTACTGGCTCGACTTTACAATATAGACTCTACCTGGGTAGGGCAAATCATCAAGATTTCGGCTACACTGCTACACCTCCGAGCATTGAGGTCCTGCAGCATACACAAACAACTGCAAACATTGCTGGATTCAAAGCAAATTCTGAGCGAGAATCATTGATGCTATGGCTTCAATCCCTTGCTGGATGCAGGAAGCAATGGCATTCCTCAAGTGCTGGTTGCGATGGATCTCCTCCTGGACTTGCTCCTTTGCTATCGCAGGCAATTCTGAGAGGCCACCCCAGAGGCGAAGGAAGCCAGTGGTGGTGGAATTTCGGAGAAGCCGCGGCATCCTCAGAACTGAAGCTGCAACGCCCAAACCAACTAAGACTCCATTTACAACGTCCCTTGCGTGATGTGTCTTGCAAAATTGGATGTTGTGGTTTCTTGATGTTCAGAAGACACCCGGAGAACAAACACAACATATATATACATATGCATATGCATATATCTTGATGCGCACAACGCATAACGAACTGTGCAAATCCAGGTATCTGACCCAAGGAGAGCTTCAACAGAAACATCTCCTTAGCTGTGCAAACGGACTATGTATTATATTGTATTATGATAGACGCTGTGACGCAAAGAAAACGTGTGACTGTTCAGCTGAGTGCAAACCCAACCATGTCAGCCTTCCCTGACGCACCACCTAACCCCAAACACAGTGGGAGATTCACTACAATACTCCTACTTGACATGTGAGTGACAGTGATTAAAGCGCAAAATGAAGCACCAAGACGCACGAATTAAAGTGACTACAGCAATCTGATTCAACAGGGCAACCAAAAAGGACCCTGGTGCGTGTTTGCAGCACAGCAGGACACGCTTGTGTAGGTGACCGCCTGATGGGGGATGCTCTTTGATTGTTTTCTCAACAACGATCAAAGTACGCTGGGACATGACATAGCTGCCTGAAGGTTCAGCACCACCATGACCTCGATGAGATCTGCCAGATCTTCTACCTGCGCTAGACACCAAATGCACTGAACGTCGCTGAACCTCCCTTGCACCAAGTCAATATATTCCAAATCTTATTGTTCTGACTCCAAGCCATCAACTGGCAGGCTCCCACAGCCCGCATTGTGAGACGTTGTCTGAAATGTTCCGAACAAGTGCGTGTTTCATGTGCTTGACATGTTGTAAAAGGTTGGTTGTCTAGGTGGAGGACCTATTTTCAAGATCAGCAGCATGGCGTACTGCATCCTGATGCACCATGCGAAAGCACAACGCTTGACTTCGGTGGTCAAGATACTTTAAGACGCGAACCCACGCAGTTCTCAGCTCTGGGGCACACTGACGTAAGCGAAACCCGGGGCATCTCCAAACACGGGCAAGTGTATACTAGCTAGAATGCTTAACATGTTGAAATTACTGTATAGTGGTTTTTGTTTTAAACAAGTGACAATTGAACAAGTGCTTGATTTTGCCATGTGCATCCCGCCTCAAACCGCCACCAGCCTTGTGCCTTTTTACGGATCACCTTCAACACCTCTTTCTGGAATGCCTCAGAGCCCAGCCTCAGTGGTCACGGTGCAATTTTAAACATTGAATCAGCCCAGGACTGGCTATTTGACAAGAAACCCACTTGATTGTGTCGTCGTTAGAAGGTTTGACAAAGTAGGTATCCGAAGAGAAAGGACTGCAACCCCATGATTGAACATTTACTGAAGATACAATAGAGCTCTTTGGACACGTTTGAGAACTCCACATAGTCTTTGCCTATAAGAAGCTAATCCACACACACTTGTCCACTTTTAAGGCCTTTTTGCACAAATAGCTGATGTGTGAAGGTTTTCAGCCTCCGAATATGATTCTTGGCCAAACACATCCAACGGCCACCTGACGGTCACCTGAAGCAACGAGCAGCTGTGGAAGTCGTGACAACGCATGCAACGCCTGGATGCAAGATTTGGCATCCAGCCATTTTGCGGTGTCCACGTTGAGCAGTGTCCTCAAAACAAAGCAGTGTCATTTTACGGTCTGAAGAAGCATGGCTTATCGTGCTTTGCGCAAGGCAACATCACCACTCTGCTTACTCCACTCGAAGTGCGGGCCGTGGGCCTCCAACTTGATCACAGCTCTGTGCGAAGTAAACGGAACCCTAATGCAAAACATGAGGCCAATCCCCTATCAAAATGTTGCGTGAAGATTGCATGTTGACTACAACCAGTGTTTCCTTTTGACTTTCCCTGACAACGACTGGTCTGCAAGCTAAAGGTACGAACCGCCAAGGATCAAAGCACTCTCAGGAAGTACTTCGGCCTCGGCCAATCCGATCAGGATCTCCACCAAGTTTTTGGCGTGCAATTGTTCCCTCTTCTTCATCACTTCCTCAAAATTGTTCAGCATTTCACGGCCATCGGAGCTGCGAGTCGTAGTCTTGTGTCTTGAATCCTGTAAAAGCGCCTGACCTTTCGTGTTCTTTGTAGCAAATCCCGCCCTATTATATATATATATATATCCAGATGGGTTTACTTAAGACTGTGAGTGTTTAAACCTCACATGTGCATTCATACGCTATTCTCGTTGTTTTTCGAGCATCCGTTTGCGGATTTTAGCGCGGTATTTACGCGTATTTACCGCGCATGTTTTCATCGGTCGATGTAAAACACACTGTAATTACGACTTCAGAACTGTGCCATGATTCCGAGGGTTTTGGTCGGATGGCACGTTAACGTTCGATTCAAATTGCACTCTCATACAGAAGCCCTTCTACGTTGCTACACAATGCGAACGACGGAGTGTGGGGTGGGGTGGGGTGGGATGTTAACGTTCGGTGCAAATTGCACGCTCATACAGAAGAAGCCCTTCTACGTTGCTATACAATACTAGTACTCATGCTGTGTTGCGCATACATATTTGTTTGCACACCTGCGTGTTTAAAGCCCGTCTGGATTTATTCATATCTAACCTAAGTTAGATATCATCCTGCAGGACTAGCCCCACAATATTCCAATATCCTAGCACTCCATGTATGGAATATTGTTTTACACCTGGGGCCCAAAACCATCTCGCAGTGATACAATGTAGACTCTTGGGTGGTCTGAAACCGTTAAGGCCGTCTGGTCCAAAACCACCTCGCTCGTTTGGAGGCCGTCTCCAGTAGGGTGGAGGCCATCGCTCGTATGTCCCACCGTGCCTATAGAGCCGAGAAATCCTTCGAGAGAACCAGGAGGTGTGACCCCTGGAACTGGGGTCTGGTGGCTCGTGAGGAAGGAAGTTGTTATAGTTTACCGATGTCAGGTGTCGTTTGGGGAGGCCTTAGTCATTCAGTCTCGCTCATCCATGAACATGGTGCAACCTGGGCAGCTGGTGCTAAGAAGGGGCACAGGTACCAATACAGGGTGTTCCAAATTAAGTGAAGGGGCGCTTCTTGTTTCCTCAGGAAGTGGAACCCAGGGATCTCCACATATTGGACACCAGCAGCCCAATCTCGCTGGTTTGTGAAGTCGCTACCGGGTACATCGTTCGACGCGACGAAAGTGCGTCGAGCCGTCTAAAGATTTGCTATTTGTCTTCCCCAAAAAACGTGAAAATGTTTAAACAAACGTGGTGTTTTTCACAAACGTGTCACAGTCTTAAATAAACCCGTAAGGATATATTCCAAAGGAATGTACGCCAAAGGAAGGCCAAGCACTGGCAACCAACAAACAGTTCAGAGTCACTCGTTGGATTGCAGTCTTTACGCTTCTTGCGAACATGCCTCATCGCACAGCTTTCGGTACAATGAAGGGTCATCAACACCTGCAATCCCAAAGCCATGGATGGTGCGCGCTAGCTGCAGCGGCGTAAAGGTTTGCAAGGTTGCCTTCGTATGCCTTGCCAAACAAAGCAGGGTACAAACAGCCTCTGAGACCATGGTTCAGCAAAAAATCATCACTGTCACACCAATTCCGAATTGCTCTGATTTGTCTGTTGTTACAATGGTTGCAAGTGGGTATGTCCGAGAACATCTTGAGTGGGGTCTTCAGTTCCTCAGGAGGCTACTCTTTGTGGTAGACTTGCAGGTCCAATCTCTCACCGTGCCTGCCTCTTCAATGCTTTGAAGAAACTCTTGTGAGCGTATTCAATGGTGGCAAAGGCCGCTACAACGCTCGATATGTCATGGGCATTCCTGGGGGCAGCAATGTAAGAATGGACTTTCCATTGACATTCCCTTTTGCAGCTGTGGCCGGCCACAGCCAGAATGATTGTTCAACTATTTGACTATGTATTTACCGCTTCTCGAAACAAAAAGGACTTTGAATTTTGACAAGCCGGCTACAGGTTGTTAGCAAATGTCACATGTCACTTAAAGTCCGGAGTCGACCTTCCTCAGCCAGGTTCTGGATGGGAGTTGCCCAAGTTGCAACCAAACGCCAAACTGTCCACTCCAAGCAGGGGGAGGAGCAATTCCTCCCTGCCTTCAACCTCCCTTTTTGCAAGCTGCACCCTGCTAGGAATGTCAGTCAGTGTGCCCCTCATGCAGGAAAGGTCTTTTCATGGGGTTCAAGTCTCCCAAAGCCGTGGGGGCAACGGGGGAATCCCAGTTTGCAAAACCAAGAGTCTGAGTCTAAACTCACAAAGATTCTTTTGTGCCCCATTTTCTGATCAATGCTCTGTTACAATACTGACTAGGACATCCAAGGATATCCTGTTGTGTCATGTCCCAGGAAGGCCTGGAGGGCCTGTATTGACACTGAGAGTCATGAGCCTCACTTTGGAGGACAAAATGTGCGCCAAATCCTCAGCTGACAGTTGCATGTCGTCATCTGAGACCGCGTGCAGCAACATGTCAGAACATTGTGTGCTGCTTAATTAGAGCATCACTGACCATGCCCAGCAGTTTAACAAGTACCTGTGGGAAGCATAGTTGCTCTAGGACTAGAAGCGCCGCAAGGCTGGAATCATCTGGCATCTCAACGGGAGTCCAGTTGAATTACGTAAGCACTCAACCTCATAGCTTGAGTCGTTTCAGACCCCGGATTGTGCCATTGAGCGTAGGTCAAGGTTGGTCAAGTGCTCTGGCAACTCTCAACAGCAACCTTTCCAGGATTTTAGGCATCTGGAGCCTCCTCACAGGAAAATGAGATTCAAAGGCACAGCAAATTGAACCACAGCCTGACATCTCTCCAGACAAGAATCTGAGAAAAGACCCTCCTCCATCACTCTGGCGTTGCTGTAGGCGAAGGCTAAAGTACACAAATCTCTGGGGACTTCAAATTCCTTGAGCTGCGCTGCGCGGCACATTGAATATTGTTGACAGGGACACATAAGGATGGAGAGTTTCCCTTGGTTTCATTTTTGTATGTCATACAAATCATATCAAAACGCAACGACGTGCAAACCAAGATGAGCATCAGGAGGTAGAGGGGGTATGATTAGAGCCGACAGGCAAACCTAGCCATTGATGGCCAGGAATGAGAAATGTCACTAGGGAATAGTATAGCAAGCATGCAAAGCATGGAGAACTTCTGAACACTTTACAAATCCTTCCATTGCCTTTCACTTCAATTGTTGGACTTCTCTACTCCTTGACTCCTAGTGACTGCTTGATTCTGCTTAAGGATTTCGGATTCATGGCTTCACTTTTGGTCACCCTGGGTGATGTTGGGTCACCCTCGAATGGTCACCTTGCAAAGGACCAACATACCAGAATCTGATATTATCACATAGGAAAATAGATAGAATGCGTTGTCATACCCTGAGTACCCACAATATTCAGACTCCGTACTCTTGTATTTACCCTTGTCCACTTTGCCTCCGTCCGTCTTGAAATACTTTGAATGTGTCGCCGACCATTCTGCCTGAGGATCTAAGAGCTTCGCCCGTATGACAGGCGCCATCACGTGGCGCAGCAGGTCTTCGTCAGCCTCCTTCAGTCGTGAGAGCGCCTTATGCGACCAGTTTTCAAGGACAAAACTGAACACATTTTGAGACTGGGTTCATTGCCAATTTATCAATGGTATTATTTTTTTTTTTTGGGGGGGTAGGCCGCAAAGGTAATAGCTAAAGGTAGCTAGTAGAAGGGGCAGCTAGTAGCTAGGTAGCTAGTGCCTTATTTAAGCTACTAGCATGGGCGCAGGATAGCTCACGCTTCTTCAAGGAAACTCCCCCGCCACCAATTGGTTCCTAGATGTTCAGGGGTAATTAACGTTTCTCGTCTGTAATTGGCTGTGGTTCGTATGCTTTCAACAGTTTTGTTGATATGCATTCAACACGTTCATCCGGACATCCTTTGGTACTTTGACAAGCCAGGTGCAACGAGCAGCCAAGTATGCTCAATAAATCAAACAACGACAGCCAGTGTGAATCAGAGTCCGCAGTGTTGGAAAGGCCACCAGTGATGGTCTGTCACACGGCTGTCACCTTGCACATCGAGTTCACAGAACATGCAAGTATATACATATATACATATACATTACGTATGTAAAGGAAATACATTATGGCTCAAGGTCTTCTTGGCTCAAATCTTCCTTGGCCGCCCCAAGACCGGGCAGCGCAGGCTCTTCCTGCTCTCGTTGCGGTGGTTTGACGTCTTTCACGCCACTGGACTTTGCTCGCCCTTTATGTGAACATCTGTTCCTCTACGGCGGCCATGACCTTCGGTGGTTGGGGCAGGTCCTATCAAAATGGTTCCCACCCAGATTGCCACAACTGCATCTGGAGGCTGGCATCACCCCGATTGTCAAGCCCCCAGAACCAGATCTCACTGAAGTACTCAAGTAGAACCTGTCCCAAATGCCAAGCCACAACCGGAGTCCGCAAACGATTTGGCCGGTCGACTCAAACATCAGGTCACGGCTTTGAAGGACCTCTCACAACGCAAACATGCCTTGCAACACACGACTGATGCGCCACCAAGAAGACCTTTCAAGAGCTCCTCAAAGAGATGAAGTTGATACAGTCCAAGCCCAAACAGGAGCAGGCTTCACTGAATCAGACAAGCGCTGCCTACATGAACGTGGTTGCTGCTCAAGGGCCGTCTCAGATCGGACATTACCTTTACGGCGCGCCAGGGGGTCTCATCTTGCACCTTCAACGTTTCCATCAGGTCCAAGGTATGTGACGGTATGTGGACCAAGCATCGAGGTTTGGATCCACGCGCGCTACTCTTTTGGATGGCATCCGCTCCACCAGGTCAGGCTCTTGTCCTTTGTTGGGACAGACAAAACTGCTGGTACGCTGATGACGGACCTTACACTTCCTCATTGCAGCCAAATCCTTTAGGTGTGGCTTTCTCTTGATCCTCGTGACAAGTTGGAAGATTGCCTCATGGAAGAGTTGAATGAACCCTCTCCAAAAAAACCTCGAGTCTGCCGCAAAACCACCTTTGGCAAGAAATTTCAAGATTGGATCTGGTCTCGGGGGGCGGCAGCACTGGTGGATTTCTTTGTCATCCTGCTCACCATCGCGCCCACTTCACGCAGCACTACCTCAACGAAGGCAATGGATGGGTGGCTGTGGGCTTGCAGAGAGATGGCCTCTCATGGGCCTTGATTCAAGTCTACTTGCTGCCCAATGCGGACATCTTTGCGCATCTTTTGACCTTAAGAATTCTTGGACCACTCAGCGCACCTTTCAGCATTGGGGGGGATTGGCAGAACCCACCGCAAGAGATCTCCTCCACCGTGCTCCAAAGCAAGTAGACGGCTCAATTGGTCACTACCGCGACAGGAAACTTTCAAGAATGAAATGAACCTTTCTTCATCCTGAACCGCCAAAGTGACTGGTCTGCATGGGCTCTGATCTGGCGCAAATGTTGACCTGCCTTCTGGGAACGCATGGCAGCGCGCATCAACGTCCTGCGTCGCAACCCTCACGCAGGAGTCCACAAAGACCATGGTTGGGGGCATCCCGGAACACTCGTCTCAAGACTTCACTGCAACAATGGTTGGACCCCACAGTCAGTACTTGCGGACCATACTGAATCAGGAACTAACACCAAGCTCATTTGGCACTCAGCCACTGACGAGCATCGCACCTGGCTACAGCAGGCCCACTCCAAAGGCACCTTCTCAGTTCTCCTCGACAGCATGACATCCGATGGCACCGCCCACACCAGCATCTTCCTTTACAAGATCGTCTTCCGGCGCGATTGCAGCAATGGGAAAGCATTTGGGAACCGGTGGATGAGCCTGTCCTTTACCGGGTTTTGACCAGTGATGATCCCAAAACCTCAAAGTAGAACATCGTAGCCCTGACTTCGTGCGTCTACAGGGTGTGACAAGTGTGGCAGAACTACCCACGTTTGCACCTCAAGCTGGCCCTTGACCCGTACCGGGACCGCGGCTCATCCAAGCTGAAGGAGTTTGTGAATGATCCCCAACAAGAGGCCGTGCTTTAAACTCGACAAGGTTGGCCGAATAAAAGATCGACAAGAAAAACCACGCGCTCGACAAAAAACGAACGCAAGGGCTTGACAAAAAGTGGTAGTCACAAGCCCGACAAGGACAGGCGAACATGAAAACCACCACAGGAACGAGCTCTCTCCAGATTAATGTCTAAATGTCTATGTCTCTATCTATATTGCCACTGTCCAGCTGCATCTCATGTCATCGATCAATTTCCTTCTCTGCGTTTAGTTTGAACTACGCATCACAACTCACAAGCAGAAGGCAACTCGTCAAAAAACCATTTGAAACTGTCAATAACCGTCAAAAAACCGTTGAGCGGAAGGCTATGAGGAGCACAACTCACAAGCCAATGGTTCGGCGCCACAACAACACCAACAGCTTAGAGTGATGGCTGCCAGTCGCTTTGATGACAAGCGCAACCTTTTCTGGATGTTCCCTTTGTCAAGGTCAAAGACAAGCGGCAGGTTTGAGGGCCACTTCAAGCCTTGCAGGCCTACCTTTTGGACTGGGACTTCGATGTGTTTTATGACCAGCTTTGGAAGCACGCTGGATATGATGGCGTCCCGGATTGCATCTTTCTCTTCATGATGACTGGCCCACTCTCCACCAGAAGTTCAAGCGCAACCGTATCAGCCTCAGGTTGCAACGGCCCAGCAGTGACCGCCTGGCTCTTGGACTGTGACCTCTCCACCAAGGCACACTACAAGGCCAGCAGGGTTTGCGCCGCTTTTGTGGAGTGGGCCTCGCTTTCACACATTTGTTGTGGGAGTGCCAATTCCGGGACGGTAAGGTCAAGGCTCTCCCGGCTGAATGGTTGCACCGACTCCAACAAGACTCGGAGCCGGAGTTGTAGAACCAAAGAACAACGTGGCGGCGTGAGCGCCTTTGAAGGCACTGTTCTTTGGACTGACCTGGACGCGACTCATCTCCAGCAAGGACGAGCCTGTTGCTTGGACGTGGCCACAACGTGCACTGATCGTCGGCACCAGCAATGCACCTTTGCCTTGGCCATCTTTGACATCAACAACAATGAGTGTGTTGCAACAAAACAACGAGCTCCGTTTTATGCTCTCTCAAGCACTTGGCCGTCCATGTCCAGACTTGGAATTCCTGGACGCCCTACAAAGTCTTTGTTTCCTGACCTTTACGTTGGCTTGGAGTTTGAAGATTTCGAGCAGATTCGACCTTTGCTCTTTCTCTGGAAGGCCAACCAGCGGCTGTCCAGATCCTGGATCCATGAAATGGTCAATCAGCAGATCTCACCACTGCCTGGCATCCACTTACTCCAGTTGGACAAGGCATGCCTCAAGTGTGATCAATGCAAAGCATACATCCTGGCCAGAACCAATGAAAGCAGCTTCAATGCCTTTGTGGGAGTTTGCCGCAGCAGCCCGTTGCAGGGATAGCACTCACACAATGGTTCGGGGGCGCTGCCAGGCCAAAGGCCGAATCAAAGAGGGCCAAGTGGCTTTAAGCCGCAGGCTCAGAGAGCCTTGTCCCGATCCAAGATCGCAGGATCTTTGGCGTCTTTTCGGATGAGCACTGTGTGGCACAGAAAGTCCGTGCAAAAACAAACCAATACATTATCCATTGCGCTGCAATTTGTTATCGACACGTTGCTATACTGTAAAACCGTCAACATTTCCTTCGTGACTTGAAAACCTTGTTGATGTATTCTCGGCCAATTCCAAAGACTCCGCCGACCCAAGCAGTGGCACGAAGTGGGTGCACCATTGCAACTGTATAGTCTGCCCCTGGACTTTGTGCAATCTCCCACTATAGACTCGCTGGGAATTCACGTCTTCACCAGCTATATAGGCGCTCCTAAACTGCTGACCCTGCTCTGCTGACCCTGGTCTTGTCTGTTCTTGTCTTCTTTCCGAGGAACCCAGGTGATCTGTGTCAGCTCTTTGGGCGAGCAGTTCTCAGCTTCACGATGCAGGACTTGGCGGATTTCTGCGAACAACTCGCTGTGTGTGAGATTCAGGCTGGCAAAGGCCCAAAGTACAGAAACGATGTCTGACATACCTCAGCTCCAATCTCTGTGGTCTCGAAAACATGGCCAAACTTGCCGCTTGCAGTGCCAACTAAAGAAAACACCAGCTGGGCCAACTTCCCTTCTAACACTACGCATCACTACCCAATGTTTATTGGGTGTTTTAGTCACAATTACGTAGCCTCGAGTCAATGAGCTTCCCCGTAATGCCCTTGTTACTAGCAGCGATGTCCTTGTTACTAGTAGCTTCTCGTTATTAGTAGCGATGCCCTTTTTACCAGTAGCTTCTTGCTCCTAGTAGTAATGACAGGAGCTACTAGTAGCTTTTTGCTACTAGTAGTAATGCCCTTGTTACTAGTAGCGATGTCCTTGTTACTAGCAGCTTCTTGCTACTAGTAGCAATGCCCTTGTTACTAGTAGCGATGCCCTTGTCACCAGTAGCTTCTTGTTCCTGGTAGTAATGCCAGGAGCCATTAGTAGCATCTAGTAGCTTTTTGCTACTAGTAGTAATGCCCTTGTTACTAGTAGCGATGTCCTTGTTACTAGTAGCTTCTTGCTACTCGTAGTGTGCCCTTGTTACTGGTAGCGATGTCCTCGTTACTAGTAGCTTCTTGTTCCTAGTTGGAATGCCCTTGTTACTAGTAGAGATGTCCTTGTTACTAGTAGCTTCTTGTTCCTACAGTAATGCCAGGAGCTACTAGCAGCTTTTTGCTACTCGTAGTGTGCCCTTCTAACTAGTAGCGATGTCCTTGTTACTAGTAGCTTCTTGTTCCTAGTGCAGTAGTATTGCAGAGCTACTAGTAGCTTCTTGCCACTAGTACCAATGCCCCTGTTACTAGTGGCGATGTCCTTGTTACTAGTAGCTTTTTGCTCCTAGAAGTAATGCCAGGAGCTACTAGTAGCTTCTTGCTACTAGTAGCAATGCCCTTGTGACTAGTAGCGATGTCCTTGTTACTAGTAGCTTAGGGCATTACTAGTAGCGATGTTCTTGTTACTAGTAGCTTCTTGTTCCTAGAAATATTGTTAGGAGCTACTAGTAGCTTCTTGCTACTAGTAATGATGCTCTTGTTACTAGTTACTAGTAGCGATGTCCTTGTTACTAGTAGCTTCTTGTTCCTAGTTGGAGCGCCCTTGTTACTAGTAGCTTCTTGTTCCTACAGTAATGCCAGAAACTACTAGCAGCTTCTTGCTACTCGTAGTGTGCCCTTGTTACTTACTAGTAGCGATGTCCTCGTTACTAGTAGCTTCTTGTTCCTAGTACAGTAGTATTGCAGAGCTACTAGTAGCTTCTTGCCACTAGTACCAATGCCCCTGTTACTAGTGGCGATGTCCTTGTTGCTAGTAGCTTCTTGCTCCTAGAAGTAATGCCAGGAGCTACTAGTAGTTTCTTGCTACTAGTAGTAATGCCCTTGTTACTAGTAGCGATGTACTTGTTACTAGTAGCTTAGGGCATTACTAGTAGCGATGTTCTTGCTACTAGTAGCTTCTTGTTCCTAGTAGTATTGTTAGAGAGGGGGGGACTGTGAGAGTGCAGTGTGTTTGGTATCATTTGATGCTCAAGATATGCAAAGATGCTTGTTTGCACTCCAGGGCAGAAGATACCACTCTACTCTAACATGGGGCCTGGGTCTTGGTTTTCCCCAAATTTTAGGTAAATGCTTCAGTGGTAGCCCCTCTCCATATAAACACATATATATAACCTATTCTTGCTCTCTCTATATGAACAAATATATTATGTATTCCTGAATCAGGGTCATTTTATGAAGCAGCAAGCAGTCATTCAGATGGTTTTGAACAACAAAACTAGGAAAGAAGCAGGTCATGAAAGTGTCTCTAGATCTCTGCTTATAATTATGTTTAGATTTGGAAAGATTTTATATAGACGCGTTTATGTTACACAAGATTCTCTATAGATCTCTGCAGATAATCATTTCTAGATTTAAACAACTATATAGAAACCTTGTATGTTAAACGCTTTATTCTAGATTTCTGCAGGTAGGAGCTTGCATTTTCAAAGTTTTCCTCTGGATCTCTGGGAAAGTAGATATCCCATATATGTGTGTTTTCATGAAATGAAAGCTCTTGAAAGAACAACATATTTATTGATATACAGCATGTTTAAATTGACATGATCATTTCCAGAGATCCAGAGGAAAGCTTTTGAAATGAACGCCTTTATACAGTTTTACTGTAGAAATGATCATCCACAGAGATCTAGAGGGAAGCTCTTGAATTAGAAGCTTGTACATAAAACAAGTTTAATATGTCTATATCATTTCCAGTGATTACTGTAAACAAACAAAACCTAACTATTTACTTCAACAAAGAGTTTTAGTCTTGTTCCCAGCACTCCCAGGGCAAAACTTGCGGTAAAACATGGGGTTTTGTAGGATGTGTTTTCTTAAACTAAATAGACTAGAGCTAGAATAGAATTAGGTAGAATTAAATTGGATTTGAGTTAGAGCTAAGATAGAACGGCATTAAAACCGAATTTCAACTAAACTTGTATTGAACTATAACTATAACCTATTTAAAATTAGATGAGAGTTGAATTAGAAAGGAATTGGAATTAAACTTGGAAGTTCGCCAGAATAAGATGTAAAACGCTTGAGCTACAAGATGCACAAGTCGAGGAGGCTTCGAAATTACAAAGCCGAAGCAAAAGCAACAAGCATTGAATTAGAACTACAGCTTACACAGATTCATAACAATTTCATGTAAATTGGAAGGTATCATTACAGTTTCATGTCAAGCTGATTGGACATGCAATTGGTACCAATCAGAAGTTAATGCACAGACTTGTACATGGAGATTTCGACAAGGACAAAGGGAGTGGTGGGCTCAAACGCTTTCATTGTAAGAGCAAAGAACATATGCCTTTAGGTGAGACTTAGGCTCACATACTTGAAGGTTGAACGAAATAGTAAGAACACAGATTGACCTAAATGGGAAAACAAAAAAACAACCTTGAGAAAACCAATAACAACCTAGGAAATGCCAAAGAACCAAAAAAACCTTGGGAACACCAAAAAAAGCAAACACACCAAAAGAACAAAAAAAACAATTCTGGGGAAGTCTTGAGGAAATGGGTGGTCCAGCCAAGAGTCTCTGAGAATTGTGTTTTTTTTGTTTTTGTTTTTTGTTTTTGTTGGTTCTTTTGTTCCCCACCTGCCAGGTGAGGGTTGTTAGATTTTATCACAGTTGTTCTTCCTCCGCCTCCGCCTCCGCCGCCTCCTCGTCCTCCTCCTTCCTCCTTCCTCCTTGCTTCCTTCCTCGCCAATCTGCTTCGCCGATCTTGTCTGGCCAGCTCCGGATCGCAGTGTGCACCCCTGGACCTCAACCGCAAGGATCCCCTCGCAGTGTGCACCCCTGGACCTCAACCGCAAGGATCCGATCGCAGTGTGCATCCCTGGACCTCAACCGCAAGGATCCAATCGCAGTGTGCACGCCTGGACCTCAACCGCAAGGATCCGATCGCAGTGTGCACCCCTGGACCTCAACCGCAAGGATCCGATCGCAGTGTGCACCGCTGGACCTCAGCCGCAAGGATCCGATCGCAGTGTGCACCGCTGGACCTCAACCGGATGAAATGCCAGATAGAATGCCAGGTAGATTGCCAGATAGAATGCTGCAAGAAGATATGCCAGATAGTATGCCAAATAGTGTGTCAGATAGATTGCTAGATACATTGCCAGATAGAATGCCAGAAAATATGCCAGATAGAATGCCAGATAAAATGCCAGATAGAATGCCAGAAGATATGCCAGATAGAATGACAGATAGTATGCCAGACAAAATGCCAGATAGTAACAGATAGTATGCCAGACAGTATGCCAGATAGTATGTCAGATAGATTGCCAGATAGAAAGGCAGATTGAATGGCAGATAGTATGCTTCAAACACACAACCACAAACACAACCACAAGCTCACAACCACAAACACACAAATACAAACACATAACCACAAGCACACAGCCACAAACACAACCACAACCACGCAACCACAACCACGCAACCACAACCACAACCACAAACACAACAACAAACACAACCACAAACATAACAACAAACACACACCCACAAAGACACAAAAACCGACACACAACCACAAACACACAACCACAAACACTCAACCACAAACACACAACCACAACAACAAAGCCACAAAGACACAACCACAAACACAACCACAAACATAACAACAAACGCACACCCACAATCACACAACAATAGACACACAACCACAAACACACAATCACAAATACACAATCACAAGCACAATCACAAACACAACCACAACACACAACCACAAACACAATCACAAACACAACCACAGCACACAACCACAAACACAACCACACACACAACCACAAACATAACAACAAACACACAACCACAAAGACACAACAATAAACACACAACCACAAACACAACCACAAACACACAACTACAAACACAACCACAAACACACAACCACAAAGACACAACCACAAACACAACCACAAACACACAACCACAAACACGCAACCACAACAACACGACCACAAAGACACAACCACAAACGTACAGCCACAAGCACAACCGCAAACACATCCACAAACACACAATCACAAACACACAGCCACAAACACACAATCACAAACACAACCACAACCACAACACAGCACACAACCACAACCACAACACACAACCGCAGCACACAACCCGAGGACCCACAAGCAAAATCGAGAACTACAATACTCACGACCATGGCAACATGCTCCTCACTATGGCATCAAGTCAAATGATTGAAACGTCATGGTGGGGATCACTCGAAGTAAAGTATTGTTTTTGTTTTCCCAAGGTTTTTGGCTTTTCCTAGGTTGGTATTGGTTTTATTTATATTTTCTCGAGACTGTTTGTGTTTGTTTTCCAGTGCAAAGGACATTGAGGCAGCTTTCACAAACACATAGCATGAATGCAGGCCACAGTGGGAAGTTTATAGCACATAGATGGAAGTAGGCAGCAAAAACACATAAAATACGCACTCTGGTGGTCCCCTGTTCTGTATTGTTAGGAGCTACTAGTAGCTTCTTGCTACTAGTAATGATGCTCTTGTTACTGGTTACTAGTAGCGATGTCCTTGTTACTAGTAGCTTCTTGTTCCTAGTTGGAATGCCCTT